TCTAATAAATTCCTACAATTTTTAGATTTTCTACTCAGTTTCAGATCTGTCGAGGGCTTTATGGGTGGCACTTCTTTGGGTACTAGACGAACCTCTCGAGGACTTCCTCAGGGTTCGGTTCTCAGCCCTATCCTCTTCGACATATATACCTCGTTCATCTTTAGCTCTCTTCCAGAAGACGTATATTATTTCGCCTATGCCGATGACATCTGTTTATACACGGGAGCGGTGCACTTGGACACGGTGCATTTGGACACAGCCAATCACAGCACCGTATGATTAGAGACATTTGTAGGGTCCCTTGGAACAGCGACTTGTGATTGGACTGTGTCCAATTGCCCCGTGTCCAACTGATATACACCCTTTATACACTACTAGCCAATCGGTCGCCGTGGTTTATAGTTTGATTAATAAGGCTTTGCTAATATTTAAGGATAATATTTCAGCGCTTGGATTGGAAATATCATGTGTTAAGTCAGTTTTTTGTTTATTTTCTAAGGATAGGTTTAAAAAAACGGATAACTTTATAAGTAAATGGCATCTTAAGATTAAGCTGGATAGTGAAATCATTTCTAAAGTCGATTCGGTCAAATTTTTGGGACTATTCTTCGATAGAGGTTTGGGCTGGAGGATTCACTGTTTAGAACTCCGTAAAAGAATCCGTACCGGAATTTCTGTTATCAAATCTATAGCAGGTCTTAAGTGGGGTGCTCACCCTATTAATCTTCTTAATATCTATAAGGGCTGGATACGTTCTGCCTTTGAATATGGTTCTCAAGCATTTGCCAGTATAAATCCTAGAATCAGTATTATCCTTGATAGGGTACAATTCGAAGCTTTAAGAGTTGTATTGCGTGCAATGTCCACCACTCCTACGAATGTGTTGTTACACTTGGCCGGAGAGGCTCCTCTCAACGCTCGTAGAGGTTTTAATTTTCATAAATACATTTCTGGGTGCTTTTCCGTTAGAAACCATCCTGTCAGAATATTAGCCTTGTCATTACATAATAGAAATTTGGAATTGACTTCCTGCGTCAGTATTCCCTTTTTTTGCTTCTTTCTACCATATATTTGTTGAATTTCTTCACGAATTGTGTGTCACGTCTCTGCCCAGTGCAGTCAACTATGACTTTCGGGCAACTTGTGCTCGCTTACCAATTATCACGGAGATTGGAGATAGGTGCTTTAAGTTTGTTAGACTCCCTTCGAATGAGGAAGATAACGGATCGTCTGTCGGTTCTTTGCAGCGGACGGAGGAATTTTTTCGCAAGTGTATCGTGGATTGTAATTTATCAAATTTCAAGATTGTTTACACTGATGGTTCTAAGTCGGAGTTCGGAGTGGGATGTGCCGTTTTTTCCTCATCTTCTCCTATTCCCTTACGTTATAAACTATCCTCCCAACTTTCTATTTTTGAAGCTGAAGACATAGCTATCGCCCATGCACTCTCGGCTATTTCGGAGTCTAATACTATAAAGAAAAATTTTATTGTTGCATCGGACTCCAAAAGTGTTATTAATACTCTAGCTAATTATAATTCCAAAAATAAGCAACACAATCTGATTTACATGATCAAGGGACAATTTATGGAGTTGACCTCTAAAGGATATACTATATGCTTTGTGTGGTTACCAGGACATGTTGGCATCGCAAGGGGTGTATATCAGTTGGACACGGGGCAATTGGACACAGTCCAATCACAAGTCGCTGTTCCAAGGGACCCTACAAATGTCTCTAATCATACGGTGCTGTGATTAGCTGTGTCTAAATGCACCGTGTCCAAGTGCACCGCTCCCGTAGGTTTGTGGTACCAATCAAACCTAAGCCTACAATCTACAATTTCCATAGATGTTTCCAAAAAACAAACTTTGCCACTATCGCCAAAATCAATCGTAAATTGAAGGCGTGAATGGAAAGAATTAAAAACATTTAAGATATTCTCTATAGAAGCTTCTGGAGCAGCCATAACGATGTCGTCAACATAACGATAATAAAAAAGTATACAGATCTGTATCGTTTGGAGTGCTCTTTTCTCAAGGTCTTGGAGAACAATATCAACTATAATTGGAGAGAGAGGAGAGCCCATCGGGGTGCCAAAGGTCTGCCTGTAAATACAGCCATCAAAGCTGAAATAAGAGGAGTTAAGGACGAATTTGAGTGCTAATATAAACTCATCCCTAGGAATCCTACAAGCCACTTCCAGAAAACTCCATCTTCTCAAGACACCATCCATAACCAACTTAAGGGGAACGTTAGTGAACAATGAGACCACATCCAACGAAAACAATCTACAGTGTTCCTCCACATATAAATTAGCCAAAGAATTAACCAGATCAAAACTATTCTTGATCCTGCTCTTAGGTACAGGGATACTGGTAGAAATCAATTTATGCAAAAACAAGACCAAATTATATAGAGGACTATTTATAGATGAGACAGTTATCCTTAAAGGGTTGTCCGCCTTGTGAATCTTCGGAGAACCATAAGCACGTGGAAGAGTGGCATCGCTCGATTGGAGAAACTTATAAACCGAGTTATCGATGTAGGACTCATTTTTCCATCTTTTTAAAATGTTTTTTAATTCGGCTATTATTTTTTTAGTAGGAGCTTTTTCAACAAGCTGATAAGTATTACCATCCTCCAACTGTAACAACATCTTCGCAACATAAACATTCCTGTCAAGAGCAACTGTAACATTACCCTTGTCAGCCTTCATAAATAATAAATCTGGAAATGATTTAGAAAATTTAGCTTCAAGATAATTTTGAAGGATAAGTTTGTTATTATGATATAGAGTAGGTAAATACAGTTTAAT